CGGTGAATGTTTAAATTTTTATTTATAATCTGATTACTTTTTTAGTTGTTTTCTTCTAGGACTGGTATTTTTTTTTTCATTGGTACGTAATTCAATAATTTATATTTGGATATATATGTTGAATGGAATATTTGGTTTCCTCGTGATTTGATAATGAATTTTCATGTCTTCATTTTTTTGTTTCTTTTGATTATTGTTATTATTTCTTTTGCTTTTTGTTTCCCCCATGTTTTTATAGATGTTGATTTCTTTTTTGGTATTTAGTTATTTTTTAAATTTAAGTTTTTGGTACAACCGTTTAGTATTGATGAAAAAAAACCATTTTATCATTTAGTATTTTAAAAACCGTTTATATTCTGATTATTAGATGACATGTCACAAAAATGTGTTTCTATTGGTTGATTATTTTACTAAATATATTTGCCTACGTGGAGGCCTTCAGAATCTTCGAAATCTTCCAAGGAGATGTCCATGATGATGATATTTGATATCAAACAAAATAATTCAATAATTATCAACGTTATGGAGAAACAAAATACTTAAGTAGAAATAACAAAATAAGACTACATCATATATCGAGTAGAGTAGCACATTCAAACAATTAGAAGAACATGTCTATGATTTGTTGAATAACATATTAGTCTTGTAGAAAAGACACCAAGAAAAAGTGTAAACGTCTCTTGTTTAGTCATTAGCAATAATTTTTTTTTTTTTTTGTTACAAATAATCAAATTTGGTTTGACGTGGTTCGATTGATTCGCCGATTTTATAATCGGTTCAACTGTATTCGAGTTTCAACGTTAATCCAACCCGGATATGCATCCGATTTGTGGTTTAATTCGGTTCGATCACCGGTCTAGTCCGATTTTAAAACCATTGAAATTTATTTTTTACTATATAGGGGATATAATAAAATGTTGAGAAAAGAAGCATAAAAAGTTCAAAATGAAGTCCGTGCGATACAAATAAGTTCAACGCATTTTGTCTTCTTGCGAAATAGTTTCAAACTATCCTAATGGGTGGGCTAGTGGAAAGAAAGCAGAACCCACTTTTCAAAAGCACATCAAATACTATATAAATTAGTGAACCACACCAACAAAACCCACAAACATGATAAAAAAAAATAAAGAGTTTTTGAGAGGTTAGTGAAATGAGGACGCAACATATGTGGTGGGAAGTTCTTGATCATTTCTTGTTACAACACAAAGCTTTTGTTGCATTCTTGACTTTTGCAGCGGTTGTGATTATGGTCTACTTGTACCGACCCTCCTGGTCCGTACGCAATGTCCCTGGTCCAACCGCTATGCCTCTTGTTGGCCACTTGCCCTTGATGGCTAAGTACGGCCCCGACGTCTTCTCCGTTCTTGCTAAGCACTATGGCCCTATCTTCAGG